CCAAAGCATAAAAAAAAGACAACAGCACACCCCAAAGCATTTTATGATGCTAGCATGACCTCCACATCAAAGCTGACCAGGACAAAATGAGGAAGGGAAATTGCAAGTCAGTCTTATTCACAGACATAGATGCAAAAGTCACAAATAGTGTATAAACATATTAGCAATCTAAATTTAGCAATATGAAGGTATAAGATATGACATCCAAGTTGAGTTTCTCTCAGGAATGCAAAGTTAGTTTAATATTAGAAAATAAATGTAATTGGTTGGGCGTGGTGGCTCATGCCTGTAATCCCAGCACTTTGGAAGGCCGAGGCAGGTGGATCACTTGAGGTCAGGAGTTCCAGACCAGCCTGGCCAACATGGTGAAACCCCATCTCTACTAAAAATACAAAATTAGCTGGGCGTAGTGGTGCGCACCTGTAATCCCAGCTACTTGGGAGGCTGAGGTAGGAGAATCACTTGAACCCAGGAAAGCGAGGTTGCAATGAGCCAAGATCATACCATTGCACTCCAGTGTGGGCAACAGAGCAAGACTCTGTCCCAAAATAAAATAAAAGAAATGTAATTCATCACATTAAACATAAAATTTATATGATCATTTCAATAAAGTGAAACCATCTGATAAAATGCAATTTTATGTCTTATAAAAAGCCTTAAAACTGGGCATTTAAAAGTAGCTGGGCACTTGCCTGTAGTCTCCGCTACTTAGGAGGCAGAGACAAAAGGAATGTGTAAGGCTAGGGGTTCAAGGCTATAGCTCACTATGATTGTGCCTGTGAATAATGCAGGCACATAGGACATAGCAAGACTCCATCTCGGGGGAAAAAAAAAAAAACAAAACCTCAAAGTTTTAGCAACCTAGGAATAAAGAGAATGCCTTTAATCTTAAAAGGGCTAATTATGAGAAACCTACAGCAAACATCATACTTTATGGTGAAGTATGGAAATCTTTCCCTTTGAAATACAGAAAAAGATAAGGATGACTGTTATTACCACCCCCAGTCAATATTATAATGAAAGGTCTAATCAACATCGAAATAAAAGGGAAAATAAAGTAAGCACAAAGATTGAAAAGGAAGAAACACACCAGGCATTATTTGCAGATTCTATAATTGTAATGGTAGAAAATCCATGAGAATTTACTGCTGATTACACTCTCACAGCGGTGCCTGAGACTTCCTGCTGTTCTACATTCTTGTCAAGCTTGGCGATTCGCTTTTTACATACTTGCCCATCTGGTGAGTGTATAATAATAACTCATTGGAGTTTTAATTTGTGCTTTTCTAATTACCAATGAGGTTGAGTACCTTTTCATATTTACATTTCCTAATTTATGAAGTGCCTATTCAAATCTTTTACTTATTTTTCCATTGAGTTCTGTGTATTTGTCTTACTGATTTGCTGGAGCTGTTTATGTACTCTGAATACTAGTCCTTTGTAGGTTGTGATTTTAATATAATTGAATTTATCAATATTTCCTTTATGATTTGTACTATTTTTTCAGATTAAGAAATCCTTTCCTATCCTGGGGTCATGTAGATATTCCTCTATGGCTTTTGTTGTTGTTTGTTTTTTTTTCTTTACTTATTTGTTTTAGAGAGGAGGTCTTGCCATGTTGTCTAGGCTGGATTTGTATCTCTGGCCTTAAGTCAGCTTCCCAAGTAGCTGGGACTGTAGGTGTGAGCTGCCACCACTTGGCTAGAAACATTTTTTTTTTTTAGAGACAGGGTCTCACTCTGTTACCCAGGCTGGAGCGCAGTGGCACCATCATGGTTCACTGCCACCAGGACTTCCCAAGCTCAAGAGGTTGTCCCACCTCAGCCTTCCACGTGGCTGGAATCACAGACCTATGCCATCATACTCTATTAATTTTAACAATTTTTTGTAGAGGCAAGGTCTCACTATGTTGCCCAGGCTGGTCTCAGACTCGCCTCGGCCTCCGCAAAGTGTTGAGATTACAGGCATGAACCACTGTGTCTGGGCTGAAACATGTTTTATCCTGCTGATTTAGATTTACACTCCACCTGTAATTGATTAGGTATTACTTAAGGTTGGAGGTCACTTGTCTTTTCCTCCCACATGAATAGGTAAAAGGCAAATTAAAACTCCAGTGAGACTCTATTCTATGCTTACCAGATGGGCAGATATAAACAATCTAACATTGGTAAGTATGAAAAGAATTCTCAGCAGGAAGTCTCCTACACTGCTGGCAAGAGTACCGCCGTGGAAGAGAATCTGGAATTACCTTGTAAAGGTGAAGAAATGCATATGCTCTCTGACCCAGCGAGCAATTCCACCCATAGATTAGATTCTAAATAGACTCATGAACATTTGTACCAGAACAGTCTTGTACTGTTCAGAACAGCACTGCTTGCAATAGCCCCAACCCCTGAACTATCCAAATGTCTGGTAATAGTAGAATGAATTAATAAAATGTGGAACATTCATACAATGAAATGCCATATAGCAACAAGAGTGAAGGAAGTAGAACTACATGAATGAATTTCACAATATAATGCTGAAAAAAAAGAAACCAAACACGAAAGAATCCATTCTATATGATTCCATTTCTATGAAGGTCAGAATACAGCAGAGAATTCATAAAGTACGAACATATGTATGTGTGTGTCCATATATATGAGTGTATGTGTATGTGTGTCGAGTTCATAACATATCAAAGAATTTATATCAGCAAACAAAGGTCATGACCAAGCAAACCTAAACTGTTTTTGTTTGTTTGGTAAAAATTACAAAGAAAAGCAAGGAGAGCATTACCATAAAAATCAGAAGAGAGGGCCAGGTGTAGTGGCTCACGCTTGAAATCACAGCACTTTGAGAGGCTGAGGCCAATGGATGACCTGAAGTCAGGAGTTCGAGACCAGCCTGGCCTACATGTTGAAACCCTGTCTCTACTAAAAATACAAAATTAGCCAGGTGTGGTGATGCAGGGCTGTAATCCTAGCTACTCTGGAGGCTGAGGCAGGAGAATTGCTTGAACCTGGGAGGCAAATGTTGCAGTGTGTCAAAATTGCACCGCTGTACTCCAGCCTGGGCAACAAGAGTGAAACTGCATAAAAAGAAAGAAAGAAAGAAGGAAAGAAAGAAAGAGAGAGAAAGAAGAAAGAAAGAAAGAAAGAAAGAGAGAGAGAGAAAGAAAGAAAGAGAGAAAGAAGAAAGAAAGAAAGAGAAAGAAAGAAAGAAAAGAAAAAAGAAAAGAAAAGAAAGGAAGGAAGGAAGGAAGAAAGAAAAAGCAAGGAAGGAAGGAAGGGGGAGAGAGAGAGAGAGAGAAAGAAAGAAAGAAAGACAGAAAGAATCAGCAGAGTGGTTATCTATGGGAGAAGGAGGTAGATATATGATACACGGGGTATTCCAGGGGCTTCTGGAGGGCTAGGAACATTCTGTCTTGACCCGGATATTTGTTAAACTGTCACATTTATATTGTATACATTTTTCTGTAAATATGTTTCACAGTATAAATGACAAATAGAAAGCAGCCAGATAAAAGTAATATTGTCTATATTCTACTAAAACTCCTACATGTCAACTAAATGCAATTATGAACACAGCATTGGGTAATTGGTTCTTTAAGCCTCTGAGAAATTCATGGATACAGAAGAATTCTTGTAGATTAAGTCAGGCTTTTTCAATGTATTTGAAGGGTTTACTTCAAATACATTCAAAGTGGGTCTTGATTGTGTGTTCTAAAACAAAAAGACATCCAATGTTTCTTCATCCCAAGTTTTAGCCTTTTCTTCTGAAATATAACGAGATCCTGATTTAAAGTCAACCTGCATTAACAGTTAACGCTGTGAGACCACAAATAAGCATGAACTTTTTGTTTAGTTTTGCTTTACTTTGTTTTGAATTGGAGTCTCGCTCTGTCACCCAGGATGGAGTGCAATGGCGCAAACTCAGCTCACTGCAACCTCTGCCTCCCGAGTTCAAGCGATTCTCCTGCCTCAGCCTCCCGAGTAGCTGGGATTATAGGCATGTGCTACCACACCCGGTTAATTTTGTATTTTTAGTAGAGATGGGGTTTCTCGATGTTGATGGGACTGGTCTTGAGCTCTCCACCTCAGGTGATCTGCCTGCTTCAGCCCCCCAAAGTGCTGGGATTACAGGTGTGAGCCACAGTGCTCAGCCTATGAACTTCTTACATGTGTAAGTTGTGTGCTTTGTGCCAGCCCCTATGCTATGACCTTTAAGTTATAAGCAGCCTTTATCCCCAATTCACAGATGAGGCAATTGAGGAAGAGAGGGATTCAGAAAGTTGATAAGGTGACACAGCTCAGAGTGGTGAGGCAGAGTCTCACACTCAGGTCTGGCTCCTAGTCCCAGGCTGCCTGTTGTGATCTCAACCACTGGCTGCACCACCTTGATGCACCCTCTGGGACGGGAAGACACTATGGGCAGCTGTAGGTCCAGAAACAGTGGGGAGTCACTTCTCCATTTTCATTGAAGGCAATTGGCAGCATTTGATGAGCCAGGAAAACTTAGGCGCCCAGCTCTTACCTCTGAAGGGATTTTGAAGAAATTCTATGGTAAGTCCTTTATATAAAGCAAAGGATCAACTCACAGTATATCAATTCTGAAAGGCCATATTCCCATGCCCTGATCGCGTTTACTTAAAATAAACTAGATCATTCCTTTGCCGTCCAGTAGGCGGCACCCTTTAACTGCTTTTTACCAGCTGAACATCGGGATACTGAGTGGGTGTGTTCAACAGCCTGAGAAAGACGGCCAAAGTCAAAAGAAAAAAATGACTGAAGTTTTAAAACTCCATGAAACTCAGAAAAGAATGAAAGCAGTGACGGAAAAAATCAATTAATTCAGTTTCACGAACCATTGCTAAAAGGCAGCAACATTTTAGTGGTTTCCTGACCTACCGGTATTTCTTAATTCCAAATTCATTTTAGTTTCGTTTGTTGCACAGAATTATTCTTAATTTAGGGTTTGTCCTTTTCACTTCCACATTTCCCAACTTCGTAAGTCGGTGTCTGAGGCACTGCGTAGACGGGGAGATCGGTATCAGTTTACACGTAGCTTTCAGTCAATAATCCGCCAGAGGTCCACCCCTTTTGCCTTTTCCCCCTCCTTGCCTTGGGGAGAAATCCTCCCTTCACTGGGAGAGAACTTCTCTCCCGGGGCGGTGCGGCCCGGAGCTCCAGCGCCTGAGTCTCCACTTCGTTTGCTGAAACTTGCTTTCTGCCAGCTGAGAGCCATGCTGCGGGTGATTGTGGAATCTGCCAGTAATATCCCTAAAACGAAATTTGGAAAGCCGGATCCTATTGTTTCTGTTATTTTTAAGGGTAAGAAAAAGTTTTCTTCTTTTTCTGAAGCTCTGTTTTGGAATGTTAGTTTCTTGGGTCGCCTTCTTGAAAAGGCTGCATTTAGACGGCTGTTGAAGCCACGTCTCTCCAGCGGCGTTTGTTACCTGCGCAGGTCATGGGAGAGGACCTGTTTCTGGGGAAGGCATTTATTTCTCCAGGGCTTGAGACTCATGGAATGACCTGATGTTTTAGCTCCAAGAGTGTGATTTCTGTAAGATCTTGGCGGAAAACGTATTTGCTAATCCCTAAATTTCAGGTATCACCTAAAAGGTCTGTATTGGTTCAAAGTTTCGGTAGTCTTAGGTGCATTTTAATTTTCTCTGCTTGTGGGAAATGGGTAACGGAGGAAGAAGAGCAATTAAATTGTTGCAGGCATCATTCCTCCTTGAATCAGCCTGACTCTGCTTTGATTGTCACTGGGCACCACTTTGATTGTCGCTTTCATTGTCACTTCACCCCACCCAGAAGGAGGTGGGGTGAAGTTAATAGTTTTACTGAGTTTTCCTGCCCTTTTGTGCCTTTGTAATTGTTCTTATGTCTAGGCAGTTGGGTGTTTTTTGGTATTTTCTGTAGCTTTTAAATTGCTCATTTAGGAAAGAACTCTGAACAGCTAGTTTGCAGTTTGGGGATTTAGTTCTGTCTTGCTGAATGACCTTGGGCAAGTGACTTCCTTTCTCTGGGATCTCAGTTTTCTTTTCTGCAAAACAGGCAGGAAGGGTTTAAACAAGATCATCTCTAAAAGCCTCATGGTTGACTGAGCATGGTGACTCACCAACCATAAGCCAACTTTTGGAGGCCAAGGTGGGAAGATTGCTTAAGCTTAGGAGTTTGAGGCTGCAGTGAGCTGTGATCACGCCACTGCACTCCAGCCTGGGTGTAAAAATAAATGAAAATAAAAGGCTCATGGGAATTTCAAAAGGCTATTTTTCTATGACAATTGATTGCCATTGCAGGGGAGGGAACAAGAATGCTTGGTGTCACAACACGATCCAAGTAAGTGACTTAGTTTTGGCTAAGGTGAGGTCTCTAAATCTCAGTGTGGATGATTTATTTTGTTTGTCATTGGTAAGATTGCCAGCTCACTTCTTGGTAAGAGGGATGGGAGAGAGGGAAAGGAGAGAGTGGGAGCATGGATAGACATGTGTTTCCTGACCACGCCTTGCCACATTTCTCATTTCTTCCAGAAGCCTGACTGCTTCTCCCTGTTGGTTCCTGAGTCATCTATACCTTTCACCTTTCTTTTTCTCATTTTCCCCTTTATTTCTTGTCTTAAACCTCTCCCTCTGAGGATGAGCAAGAAAATGAAACAAATGAAACTCAAAGCTGGCTGGGTGGGTGCAGTGACTCATGCCTGTAATCCCAGAATTTTGGGAGGCTGAAGTGGGTGGATCACCTGAGGCCAGGAGTTCGAAACCAGCCTGGCCAACATGACAAAACCCCATCTCTACTAAAAATACAAAAAATAGCTGGGCGTGGTGCCACATGCCTGTAATCCTAGCTACTTGGGAAGCTGAGGCAGGAGGATTGCTTGAACCTAGGAGGAAGAGGTTGCAGTGAGCTGAGATTGCACCACTGCACTCCAACCTGGGCAACAGAGTGAGATTCCATCACAAAAGAAAAAAAAAAACTGCCAAATTGTTGGTTGATTTAAAAAACAATCTGAAGAGCAAAAATTGGTTTAAAAAAATTTTTTTAAATTATTTTAGAATAAGACTGGGTCTTGCTATGTTGCCCAGGCTGGTTATAATTCCCCTGCTCAAATGATCTTCTCACTTCAGCTTCCCAAAGTGTTGGGGTTACAGGCATGAACTACCACGCCCAGCTTAGATTTGGGCTCTTAAAGGACAATGAGGTTTGAAAATCTGGCTAGTGAATATCATGTACTCATGTTATATCAGTTTATTTACAGGTGTTAGGTTTTATTAATTTTTTTCTTGAAGCAGTTACATAATAGGGACATAACATGAAGATTTTACATCCTTCATCATTGACATATAAAGACATTAAAATATATTAGGATCAGTCTGATCATGTAATTATTTGAATCATAGATTATAGAGGAATTGGAGTTAATGCTATATTGAAATCCAACTTGTTATTTGTCTGGAGTTTGTATGCATTGATAAAACATTTTAAATGATGAAAAATATATCTAAGTCTATGAATGCAAACAATCCATTGAAAGTGGAAAACTTCAGTTAAATTGGCAAATACAGTATATCCAAACAACTACGCTTTTAACTTTAGTCTCTTTTCTGGCCTTCTTTGTTCATACAAATTGAGTGGTAAAGTCATTCATTCATTTAGCTAACAAGCAACCGGACACTCAACTCAGAGTAGGAACAGCTGCACTCTAGCTGACATTGACTCAGTATCTGATGATCTTGGCCAACCCAGATTTAACCACCTGGGTCTCCAATTCCTCAGCTGTGGCGTGATGGGAACTGGTCTTCTTTAGCTGCATTTCTGCTTTTAGATTCTATGATTTTCTAGTTCCAGGTATTATCTGCTCTCAGCAAGATGTGAAATTCATTGCCTTAGGTGCCGGAGGGGATATCATAATGAACAGGGGACTCTTCTTGCTTTCAGTCTATGCCAGTGGTTTAAAACCCTGGTGATGGCAAACCCTTTACAGGTGTGTCCCCAGTTTTGCGCACTGCGTAAAATTAAGCAACAGTAAGTTCTGACTGAACTAAGGATACTTATAGTACAACTGAGGATACTTAAAGCTACAAAATTCCACTTAAGAATGGGGAAGTATGATGTGAGAAAGCCCTCATGGATGTTATTTACTGTGGCCTGTCCAGGCACTTGGCACGCTGCCCACACAGAGCCTTTGTTCACCCAGTGGACATCATAGGACTTATCAAGATTCCTATCAGCTCAAACTGACGATCACCCTATGTGGGTATTCCCATAAAACCACTGTATTGTATTGACAAAACAATCAGGAAGGTAAAAGTGTTTACTGAGTCATTCCCATCCCTTCCCGGAGAACAGGGCTTGGAGACTCACTGCCTAAGGAAAATGGCCCCACCCTATGGAAGCATGGGAACTCTCCAGGTAAATGTTTCAAAGGCACATTCTGTAGGCTCTCAGGCATTTATGAAGCTACAATTGTCCTTAAGAAATTAATTAACATGCCTTGTTTTTCTTTCCACCTTCACAACACCTATCACCTGCTTGCCCTCAGCTTAGGGGTGCTGGTATTTGTCTGGTCTGGGTTTTCTTTCCTAGTCACTGGTGTGTTTTTCCTTTCTCCTGGGACGTGCCCCTGCCAAGAAGGCATGGGATTGTTATATCCTCTGCAGCACCCAGCACATCACTGATGCTGAATATACATTTTAAATATTGAGCATGTAAGCAAAGAGCCGGCAGGAGATTTGAGACACCTTGGTGTGATAAAGTCCTTGATTCTTAGTCCTAGAAGAGACCATGGGAAGTCAGCCAATCGCCCTTCTTTCAGGCTGAATTACATTGAATGTTCTTTCAGGTGTTTGTGAATGAGGCTTAGCAAAGAACCATGTCAAATATTCAGGAACCCCGAGTACCACCAGTTCCTAGCACTTGTTCTCTGGGGGCAAATTTGTGTGTTAGACTTTTTACATTCTTGTTCCTGGCAAGGAAAATGTGAAGCTGCCAGTGTTTATTTGTTGTTGTTTTCTGTTTTTTTGACAGAGTCTTGCTCCCTCACCCAGGCTGGAGTGCAGTGGCATGATTTCAGCTCACTGCAACCTCTGCCTCCTGAGTTCGAGCAATTCTTGGCCTTAGCCACCTAAGTAGCTGGGATTACAGGTGCCTGCCACCATGCCCGGCTAATTTTTTTTGTATTTTTAGTAGAGACGAGGTTTCACCATCTTGGCCAGGCTGGTCTCCAACTCCTGACCTTGTGATCCACCCACCTTGGCCTCCCAAAGTGCTGGGATTACAGGTGTGAGCCACCGCACCCGGCCTAAAGCTGCCAGTTTTTATGCTGAACATTCATACATGAAATGTAGTACATAGGATGCCATGGTACAGCAGTGGTCACCTAACTCACTGTGTAATTTCTGTTGAACAGCTAGGTGTTCTGTTGAACGGCGGTATGCTTTGAACAGGTCTGAGCACAGTTCTCACTCAGGAAAAGTTATGGGATATTTGATACCTTAAACCTTATCAGTTAACTTCTTGTTGGGCATTAGAGTGCATGAGAACCCTAGTTGCCATCCTTTACCCTGTAATTGCTCATGAGCAAATAAAATCTTCAGCTTCAAGTCTGGGCACAGTGGCTCACGCCTATAATCCCAGCACTTTGGGAGGCCAAGGTGGGTGGATAACCTGAGGTCAGGAGTTTGACATAAGCCTTGCCAACATGGTGAAATCTTGTCTCTACTAAAAATACAAAAAATTTAAAAATTAGCCAGGCATGGTGGCAGGCACCTGCAGTCCCAGCTAGTTGGGAGACTGAGGCAGGAGAATTGCTTGAACCTGGGAGGTGGAGGTTGCAGTGAGCTGAGATTGTGCCATTTCACTCCAGCCTGGGCAACAAGAGTGAAACTTCAACTCAAAAAAAAAACAAAAACAAAAAATCCTTCAGCTTCACAGTTCTTAATAATACCTCCTGCCTTTCAGGGCTCTTTGAGGATTAAATGAACGTACATGTGACATTGCACATGGCAATGCATGAATCTCCTTACCTGTTTGATAACAGTTAATTTCATGGAGCGCTACAGTGCACCAGAGAGTATTTCAGGAACTAAGGCTAGAAGAATATGCATGACATGGCTTGGTCTTTCAGGCCTAGGAGACCAACTAGTTAGCACACAAGAATGAGATGCAAACCAGAATGGACATGAAAAGTTACAATCTGAGTAGATGAAAGAGTGAAGAACTTTGTGGAGAAAGTGTCATTTGACTTGGTTTTAAAGGATGAGTGGAAATTCAACAGAAATAATGAAACGAAAGACATTCCGGGCTTTGGAACAGCGCAGAAGGACCAG